TGCTCTGCTCTGCTCTGCTCTGCTCTGCTCTGCTCTGCTCTGCTCTGCTCTGCTCTGCTAAGAAGGTGGTAACCGCATTATCTGTGCTCTTCAATAATATATTTGACCAATTCATCTTTTGGGTTTTTCTCTAGACATCGATGAGTGTGCACCTCAACCGTGTAGAAATGGAGGTTCTTGTCAAGATCGAGTGAATGGTTACAATTGCACTTGTGTTGCTGGTTGGACCGGTGATCAATGTGAAATAAGTAAGGACTTGAACGAAATATTATCTGGAAAAATTTCATTAAAATACATAATTAAGTCATGATCGCGTCCTGATCGTATCGTGATCATTTTAAGGTCGTATGTTGATCGTTCTAAGGTCGTACCTTGATCGTTCTAAGGTCGTACCTTGATCGTTCTAGGGTCGTACCTTGATCGTTCTAAGGTCGTACATTAATCGTTTTATGATCGTTTTGTGGTCGTGTTGTGATCGTACCTTGATCGCGTCTCGATCGTATTGTAATCTTGTCATGATCTTAGCATGATCGCATCGATGATCGTATCATGATCGTGCCTTGTATCGTAATCGTCTCGTTATCTAATCGTGATCGTGACGTGATTCTGTGAACACATCGTGATTGTCTCGTGATTGTCTCGTGATTGTCTCGTGATTGTCTCGTGATTGGGTCGTCGGGATTTGGGTCTTTATCTTGTAGTAATCAATTTTTTTCTCGTCAGACATCAATGACTGCGAGCCCAACCCGTGCAAGAATGGCGCCCAATGCAAGGATCTTGTCAACAAATTTGAATGTCGTTGCGCACCTGGGTACGAAGGAGATCTCTGCGAAACAAGTAAGGGAAAAAACTTTCTCTTGCTAAAAACCCTAGTAAAAATCCTAGTTTTTCTGACACGAGTGAAAAACGTCTGCGCATGCTCTGAATCCGTATGCAATTACTCAAAACATATGTAAATTTGACTTTCAAACATGCCTGATAAATTGGACTACACAAAATGCCAAAACTTAGTGTCCATGCTTGAAACTTAAGGCTAATTCTGTCATATCGTGTTTGTCAATACAGTGTCTTTGTCTGACAAAAGTATATTCTCGAATTGTTTTGTATACTTGGAGAAAACAAAAATTTATTTTCTCATTCAAACTCTTCAAAATTCTTAGAAAACGTGCTGAAATGCACGCATGCGCAAACGTTTTTCTCTAGTGTCAGTTTTTTTACCAACGAATTTGTAACGAAAGTAAATACAGTTTGTGTGCAATGCTGATATACCGCCTCTCACCACCTCTCTCATGGGTTCCGATAAAAAAATCACTTAAACCACTTTTATTTAAGTGTCTAGTCGTTCTAGCGCTTGCGCACTAATTGGGGACACTTTTCACTCACACACACTACCACTACATTTAATATTCCATGCACACAACGCTCAACTCAAATGTTGATTTTTACGGAGGGAGGAAACCGGAGAACCCCTCAGAAAAACCCTTGTGGCCAGGGAGAGAACAACACATCAAACAAACTCAATTCACATGTGGCGACCGCAGGGCTCGAACCAGCGGACTCACAGCGGTGAAAGACGACGCGTTAGCCGCGAACGCCACCCATCTTACCCATCTCTGGAATTACCATCATATATGCGTAGAGAGGTATTGTTTTTCTCCTGTGTTTCAAGGGGTTAGATCCAGGTTCTCAAATCCTGTTCTCAAGATAAAAATGCTTTAAAATCCAGTTTCATAAAGGGAAAAGATAAATAGATTTGTTTGTCACTAAGCATTACCCTCGAAAAAAAAGGGACGCCATTTCTTTTTTCTTTTTATGTCATCCAACATGGCGGCTATGCCGATTATTTATCCTTATCAATAAACGGTGTTAATTGCATATATTCTTATTCATATTCAGACCATGATGACTGCTCTCCAAATAACTGTGAAAATAGCGCGACGTGTACAGACTTGATCAATGATTACAACTGCGCATGCGCGAGCGGATGGACAGGAAAGAACTGCGACCAGAGTAAGTAAACCACTGTAACCATTAATTCAGAACAATTACTAAGATACCCTGTCTAGTTGACGTCACATGACGGGCAGTGTTTGCTTGTCACTGTAGGCTGGTAATAAGATTCATGAGATTCATTCAGCTGATTGATACCTTGCAATAGAATACTCTCTGGTTGATAGCACATGACGAGCAATGTTTGCCTGTCATTGTAGGCTGGTAATGAGATTCATGAGATTCATTCAGCTGATAGATACCAAGCAGTAGAATACTCTCTGGTTGATAGCACATGACGGGCAGTGTTTACCTGTCATTGTAGGCTGGTAATGAGATTCATGAGATACATTCAGCTGATTGATGCCAAGCAATAGAATACTCTCTGGTTGATAGCACATGACGGGCAGTGTTTGCCTGTCATTGTAGGCTGGTAATGAGATTCATGAGATTCATTCAGCTGATTGATACCAAGCAATAGAATACTCTCTGGTTGATAGCACATGACGGGCAGTGTTTGCCTGTCATTGTAGACTGGTAATGAGATTCATGAGATTCATTCAGCTGATTGATACCAAGCAATAGATACTCTCTTGTTGATAGCAAGAGTTTTTCATTATTTTTTCATTATTTTAAAACATTTTGTACTTCAATTTAACTCGCTGTGTTTTGCTTGGATTTCAGACATCGATGACTGTGAGTCATTCCCTTGCCAACATGGAGGCTTATGCACAGATCTTGTCCATGACTATTCCTGCGCATGTGCAGCTGGGTGGAGCGGAAAGTCCTGTGAAACAAGTAATGATGCAACTGCTTTTCTTCCTATTCACCATTTTCATAGTCAGTATCGTCACGCAACGCTCCTTTTCCAGTAGAAGGTTGGGAGGGAGCGTTGCATGACGGCACTAAGAACRATTGCGGGAGCGTCTATTATTTTCATATTCACCATAATACATTGCGGTTTTTTGAGGTAACGCATCTAGTTGATGCATCTCGTTAAAGATGTATTAGTAACGCCCGGAAACAAAAAGAAAGAATTTTGAAGAAGTCTTTGAAGTAATTTTTGAGCACTTTTTTCATGGCTCAATACATTTTCAGTAACACCAAACTTCTTAATGTAAAGAATCCACAATTTCGCTCTGAAATGTGGCTAACTTTGAGTAAGTGAGTCTGTTATCAGGGAACACAGCGGTATTTTACTGCGCATAAATTGTACGCATGGGCAAAAGATTTATCACATGTTTGATAACAAGTCTAGTTTGGGTACCTGAGTTAAATTTGTTCCTCGGACGCTGGAATACCGTGAGAGAGGACTGGGGAGAATAAGGAGAGAACATGTACCCAGTCCCCACGGAGACTGGAAAAGGCTACACGTTATTCTTCAATAGAAGAAGAGTATTCCACTCCAACTTATTTTGTATTTTTCAGATATCAATGACTGCAAACCTAACCCATGTGAAAATGGAGCACGGTGCGAGGATCTTGTCAACTCTTATGACTGTGTCTGTCAAGCAGGATGGACTGGTGAAAAATGTGAAATAAGTAAGAGAAAACATGGCATTACCTTGAGTATTATTTCTTTCTTCATCAGTAATGTTTTCCCATCTCAGACTACATGTCATTCCCTTGAGTATTATTTCTTTCTTCATCAGTAATGT